TCCTCCTCCTCCTCCTCCTCTCTCTCTCTCTCTCTCTCTCTCTCTCTCTCTCTCTCTCTCTCTCTCTCTCTCTCTCTCTCTCACCCTTCCCACCTTCTTTTTAAACGATTTCCTTCGCGTGTTTCCTCTTAATTGGACCCCCACTGTTCAATTCGTACATACAGAAACGGAAACGCGTCGGAGAACGCGATGGAATCCCGGCGGCAAATCGAGAAGGCAGACGGCGAAGGAGGAAACGGCGGGACGGTAAGATTCTCAGGCATTTTCATGGCGCCGCATGCACCGTGCCAATCGGAATGGAAACAAGACTATTTTTATATTTGCCGGATTCGGATTTCACGACGAAAGAAGAAAGAAAGAACCGCACGACTAATCTCGTTGGTAAAGCCATTCGATGGAATCCAGGCGAGTTTATGCTTTTCGATAACAGATCTAAAGATTAGATTAGAACTCGCGAGATATTGTTAACCTCCCCCCCCTTCATCCCCCCTCGCTGTCTGTCTCTCCGGAGTCAATTACTTTTACTGCTAAAGAGCACGTTGGTAATATAAATAATAGTTGCCAAAATAAAAGAATTAAACAAGAAATATATCTTTTTATCTTGTTCACGTGTTTGTGTTTTATCTTTATATGAAAAATTAACGTAAGATTTTCGCAATTACTGCAAAGCCATTATTTATTACACGTGGTTGAATATATTAACAATCCCGAAGAGACGAGACGACGAGATTTCTCAGACAGACCGAGTGACTTCTCTCTTGGAGCGTCGCGAGTATCCAAAGGGTCGAGAAATGCGAGATTTAGTCAGGAACGTCGCTCTCTTCTATGAAAGAAAAAGATCGGATAATGAAATATTGTCCGCACGCACGAATTCTCAGGCAAGAGAGCGCGTATTCATGAGATGAAATGCTGAATGGGAGCTCTTCCTCCAGTGTATAGGTAATGAAGGCGTCTCATGCGACAAAAATACTGTCAACTGTTCGTAGGGGAGGTAGGAAGGAAGGTTAGTTCTTGCGTGGTCCTGTCATCGTGCTTTTTCGACGTTCCCCAGCGGCGGGGTAAGCGCTACACAGGCAGGCAAGATTACAAATTGTAAACAGCCCATTCTGTTTTCTCTGTGTTCCCTCTTCCCTCTGTTACTTTCAGTTCTTCACGCGATTTAATTTCTCCTGAAACGGTGCAATTATTCCTACGTCAATATGGCTGATGCACTCGTAAAAATTGGCAATAATCTACGAAACGAAAAGATTTATGATGGCCGAGAGAGAAATTGAAAGAAAAATTGTCGAAATTAGGCGAAATTAGGTTTGCTCTCTACGATCGTCGATGATATATTTCCGTGTGGCTCCTAAAGAAATTCGTTTGTATAACAATATAAGAAATGACTCATTACGATATTAAAACAGTGATAACACTATGTATGCTCCCCGTAGAAGGAGAAAGCGCGGTATCATCGCGCGATGATGGCGGAGGAAATCGAGCGCGCTCGCGCGAGGATGTTCGATGAGAAAACAAACATCGATAGATGCGTATAGAAACGTCAGCATTTGCTGGCTGTCGGGCGCATAACTCAGCGCGCGGCGGAGGCGGTAAAAATATTGTGCGATAATATTTAGAGAATGCTCTCGTTCCGGCACGCGGTGTGTCTGTCCGGGGCGACCTCGTGTGCACGTACGAACACCACATGGAGGAGAAATACGTACGCACACGTATCGCATACGTGGCGTTAAGGCCTCCATAGTGTGCGCCGATCCTGCCGAGAGATATACGAAGCAGCTGCTTTGGAGGCTGCTGCTGCTGCTGCTGCTGCTGCTGCTATTGCTGCTCTCTTGCCTCTGCTGTCGCTGCCGCCCCCTCGAACCCTTCCCTTCGTAAAATCCTTCCCTTCCTAAGCAGTTGGGGAATTCTAAACAGAATACGCGTGACACGGCACGAACAAATTTTCTAAAAATCCTTCTCTCGCTTATTTTTCTCGCTACATATCGAGTTATTCTCTAGATATGATATTTAACGAGCTTTAAAAAAATGGACTAATTTAACGTTCGCAACGTTCTGAATATGTTTTATGCAAAACAACAACATCAACAAATAATAAAAAAATAATCAATTTCGGTATTATCTTCAGCAAATCTCGTTATTCAAATTTTCTCTCATGTATTTAAAATAATTTTCAGAATACAATTTGCAGAAATACTGCTGAATTATATTACATTTGTTCGAAACACAAATTTCCCAACAGTTTAACGTTCTCCAATTTTTTCAAATATTGAGAATTCATTCAACACACATAAATGAATTTTTTAGTACCATAAAATAACAAGATTTCTTGTATTTCTGAAATTTTTTACGCATATTGTCATTATTAAAAGACCGTACGTAGGTAAGCGCATATTAAAAGACGCAAAAAATATCAAATAATTTTTTGCTATTTGTGGTTGGCAGTAACCTTATTCAAAGAGAGAAAAGACGTTTTGCATAATAGTACAAATAGTCGAGACAATTCTTTGCTTTCAAGCACACAAAAAATAAAAACGCGTAAAAAAAGCTGTAACAATTGTTCCTCAAGATCCGCAGATGTAAGTCTTCCTTTAGGCTCCAAATCAAAGGCAATGCATATTTCAAATCTCGAAAGACCTCTTCGAGGGTAAAAACGTTATGTGACAAAAAAAATGGATTAACTTTAGAGCTATCATTTACCCGATATTTTTTATCCAATTTATGCAAACTCTCTCTCATTCAAGATGTTTTTTCCCCAGGCATAGCTAACTGACATAACAATAAACTATACGAACACCAGAAGCACTCAACGTAATCTGATAACTAAATTAGTGAGAGCCAATGAATGACTCTAAGTGATACGAACCGCTGCACGGCATGTGTTTTTGCAAACGACATGACGAGCTGCTGAGTCGCGAGGAGGAGGACGAGAACCGACAGAGCGCGTGATACCGCGTGATCGCTATCGCGTGGTAGCACACGTCAAAACGGGGAGATATTTACGCTAGAATGCGATAATTGCGAAATTGTAGCGCGGCAAGACCGCCAGCGATAGTCGTGCGGCACGTAACAAACGAGATTAAAGGTGTACGCATGTCTGGTGTTGAAACAATTAAAATCTGGAAAATCTGAAATATATTGGAAATGAAGTTTGAAACAGTTTTGAAAAGCCGAATTTATGGTACATTCGAGTCCAGATGCCTTTGTTCCATGTTTCACGAATATTCTCACGCAGTCGGGTCGGACGAACGATGATCTTAAATAACACATTAGTAAACACGGAATTTTTAGATAGAAAAAAAAAAATACAACATATATTTAGAGTTATATGTAAAAATATATATTAAAAGTAATGTGATTTTTGTCGACTGTAAATTTCTTGATAAAATATCACATCGATCTCGTTTAATTCCAAATTTTATTAAATATACCGTTCTTGTTACATTTTAATATTCGATTAAATTTCCAATTAAAATTTTATGGTCACTACAAATATAGTCTAATTTGCCGATGACATCGGGATGACGTCAGGTAGTGAAAAACCGGTTCAAGCGCGATGGCGAGCTTTACGTGGTTTTTTTATGTGGGTTTCGTTTCGTTAATTGGCTTTGCTCTCCATTAAAACCGAGGCATCTCGATAGTGCACCATTTCTCCTAATAACTTGTTAATTTTTTGCACATTGTATCATATTGCTAATAATTTAATATGAAAAGAGAAATTTCTCAATGTAATAATAATTTTTTAAATATATTGTAATATATATTGTTTCTACAAACTTTTGGTATGCTAGATCTTTGAGTCATGGCACTTAATGGAAAAGAATCAATGATCGTCAGCATAAAAAGAATTGGATTGGCTATGAATAGATGATGCGTTTGTCTAGCGATCACTATCGTCACGGATAACATTTACGAGGGCTTCATGCTCCCAGAGAAGAGCATACTAATTGTGCCAATAAATCCCTACAGAATCCTTCTTCTCCGTTCGGCTCTTTCTTTCCCTGTGTTTGTAAGCATGAAATGGAATCGCGATATCGTGATGAGCGCGCCCACGACTCCGTATTCAGCACTTTGATAGTTTCGATTCATTGTTCAAAGCACAATTATACAATCGGGAGAATGTTTTCAAGGCTAATAGTAATGATACATTATGCTCATATTTCGCGCATGCATAAATTGTTAAAGCAATTCATTGGAAAAATTAATTATATATATATATATATATATATATATATATATATATATATATATATATATATATATATATATATATATATATATATATATATATATATATATATATATATATATAATAGTA